CACCAATTCTAGTACATCCAAAGTTGTCTGCATCGAATTTACGGGGGAGGAAGATTTACATGGAAAAGGCAATTGTAAAACAAATCTTGGTCGGAGACACCTGCGGCATTGTGAGCCTTGACCATTTCACGCAGTTCCACCGGTATTTTTGCCAACACGCTGGAAATGGTTGATATTCGATTTATACTCTTCCATGTCGCAACACCTCTCCTCAATAGACATATCGCATACTTGTTAAAGCACTTTGCTTGGGAAAAGTGGAAATAGCAAGTACTGGTGTCTTTGGGTTTATTCTGAGTCAGGTACACTGTGGGGTTCTGAAAATGAACAGAAAAACGAGGATTATGCATTTCCCACAGTGAATTTTAAAAGAGTGATCGAACTTTGCATACCGTGATAGACGTGTCACCGCAGTAGTGATTTAGGAACACACCGGCAGTTTGAGTTACTGACAGTGTTTCCAATTTCATTGAATCGCTGCAAGAAGTTACTAAAAATAGTTCCATTCCCTCAGGTTCGCCAGTTGTTTTCTTACGTTTCAAAAATTTATATTGAAATCCTAAATAATGATAAAATTATTATTATATTTAAAAGCTGGTTTAATAGCTAAACTCCATATGGACATACCAGTAATCAGAAATCGTTGACCATCTTCGGGAATCGAGTTACGATCTACGCCACAAAATGATCCCATTACGTAACGAAGGCTAACAGTCGTGTTTACCTTCATTGGTCCCCTGAATACCTGATCAACGGCAACTGGGATGACAACCCCTGCATATTTCATACCCACGTACTCTGGATCTTCTACGAACCGCGTACTTGGACCCACCTTTCGAGCAACAATGGCTGTAGCGGATTTAAAAAAGGGTTTCATTACACAGAACACGTACGTAGGAGGATATTACCTCAGTTGCATCCTCACATTGTACGACTTACCGAAGTCATTATTGCAGAATCGTCGCTGAAGTACACTAATTCCACAAGTGCAGAAGGTATTTGTCGCATTTTTCATGTAAGCTCTGAATGCATCATCGGTACCGGGAATATCATCCTCGTCCACTTTAGCTTCATTAGTGTTGTCTAGACGAACCGTGACTACCATTTGAGTAGCCAAGAGAACGAGCAATAAGCGGAGCCAGAGGCGAATAAGCTTGAACGACCTCATTACCAGCAACCTTATTCAGTTATATCTACCCTTGCGCATAGTGACACATATATACCATTTCACTGTGCTGACGTGATAGCTCAATCAAAGCATTCTATTTGACTTTAAGTTTCTAGCCAATCAAATTTAAACTTCAATCTCTAGCCAATAAATTATTGATTAATACGAAATCTGACCTGGTCACCTTTTGGCGACTTCGAAACACTGATTATTCATTGTGAAATATAATTTAAATGTCTGAAGATGCATTCCCTGTAACGATCCTTGAACACATAATTTTTGGTATAATTTCATGCTTCGAATATTCCAGACCAAGTGCTGCTCCTTACTAGTCTCATTTGTTACCATATTTCCTTTATATTTCTGAAGGCGATATTATTGATTGACATCTAACAAAGTATAAATTTTTCCAAGACACTGGAGTCGAATCAAAAAAAATTCACAAACTTTGATAGTGGTAATCAGTAGTATAATTTTACTGGTGTCACAAAGCTTCACAGAGTATAATGAGGGTGGTACCAATTCCATAACTAGCGAACGTGAGGGAATGGAACTATTTTTAGTAACTTCTTGCAGCGATTCAATGAAATTGGAAACACTGTCAGTAACTCAAACTGCCGGTGTGTTCCTAAATCACTACTGCGGTGGAGGTGTCCCCGACCAAGATTTGTTTTACAATTGCCTTTTTCACGCAAATCTCCCCCCCCCCCTCCCTCTATTTACCAAATATGACAACAGATTTGGTACCTTCCTTAGTCTTAATGCACGTACAGTAAGTGATGAGAGTCAGCCGTCATCGGTTTTGAAAGCTACGATAATAAGTATATATTCGACAGCTGTACATTCCTCAATGCTCAATATTTATAGGAATTTAAATTTAAACTAAAGGTAAAGAGGAGTAGGAGTTAAAGATTGAATACAATTTGAATTGCACGAAATAGCGTAATTTCAACCAACAAGTGGACAAACTGTTCAAGTGTTTTATAGTGATTTCAACGCCATCTTTTCATTCCTTCACTCCTCGTGTATTATCAACAAGAACTCTATAGCGGAGCATTTATTCACTGAAGTCGGATTTACTTTTTCTCTGTAAAAGTGTCGCTCTCATATTCAAGAATACTAATACATCAATAAATCCAATTGTATGCTGCATTCGCCATTGCACTATTAATAAATTAATTGACCAAAAACAAAGCTTTTGGGTTAATGCAAATATTTATATTTAGCATTCCTAATTACTATGTGGGACACGTTATCACTTTGTGCGTCATCGTATGCTTGCACGCCAGGATTGGGAGGTGCGACACGTCATCGCATGCCTGCACGGCAGGATTGGGAGGTGCTACGTCATCGTATGCTTGCACGCCAGGATTGGGAGGTGCGACCGTACAAACAGTGACCAATCATTAACCTCTGTTTGTTTAACCTAATCCGCCATCTTGATCATCATTTAAAGTGATGTGAATTCAATATAAGTTTTTAAACATAAAATTAGCGGCGAAACTCCTCATCGATAATATCTTTTTAGAATAGACGTCTTAAATTAGTTAAACACTAGCAAGAAAGAGTATCTTTAAAGCTATGAAAATATTCAAGGCTTGACACTAGAATCTGTTATCTGAATCCACATTTTACTGACGTTTTTGTATTTTTAGGGTAAAACAACTTCGATTGGTTTCATTGAAATACATTAATAACTACAAACTGCATGAAAATTCTCATTCTTATTTAACCACATTAATATCAAGGCAGTAAAGGAAATTCTAAACCACCATAAAGAGTATTATAACAATAATTACCGATTGCGTGACATTGTGCAGGCCTTAATTATTCAAATGGATAGGTCAAATTTGATGTAATTCTAATAACTATATAAAGTGAATATGCAATTTCAGATCTAGATATCTGGGGTCAGTAACCTAAATTTTATTTATGTGGCCAAAAGTTCATCTCCAGAGGAATAAGTTACTTTCGGTTAAGAAAACTAATTTATATAAAATGACCCTGTAGTTCCCACCCCTGCCCCCCTCCAACCCCAACCCTATTTCACTCGCTCTGGCCGACTATGTACAGTCATTAAATCGAGCGTTTTCTTTCTCCCTTTGGATCCAACAAACGCTCTAGGGGGGGGGGGGGGGGGGGAGTAATGTGGGACATGACATCGCATGTGCATACTCATAGGCTTGAGGTGCGGCCGTATAACCTCGCCTACGGATTGAGAACAAGAGCACGCAGCCAATAGCAGCTCAATGGCCCTCGCTTGTTTTACCGAAAGCCGCCATGTTGTATGACTGAGTTTCCTTACTGTATACGCTATATGCGTGATTTATCTAGTGAATAAACGTGTTCCCGCAATACGTCTATTTCTTCTGCGAATCCATAGTAGAGGCTTCCGAGTTCAGTCAAGGTTTACGAAAGTAGTTATTCGCTACAGGTCCCAGTGCTCATTATAATGCGTATTTTTAATGATTTAAGCTAAATAAAAGCGGGGATGGGCAATGCCAAAAATCTATTAAACTATTTTTTTATATCATTTTCTAGAAAATATACAATGATTTGATAAAATACTCATAGGGGAGCTTTATTAACTTCTAAGTGGCTCCAAATTACCCTTAGGCAATACCTAAACACGAGAAATTCAACGATTTGTTTTAGTGGTAAATCGAATTCATTTTAAAAATCTCCATTGCAACCGAAATCAAAATGTGCCTATGGTTGCGTTACATTAATTTCATAATAATGACCTCATTTCCGAAACCGAAGATACAACTATTTGTGGCCATTTTTATCTGCATTGACTTATTCACTCCAAAATCGGGTCACTTTCAGGTAATTATAATTTAATTAAGTGAAGATTTAAGGATGAAGTTGTGCAGATTAAAAGGAATAAAATCTTATTGCTAATGGGGTAAGTGGTGAGGGCAATGCTTCCAGCGTCCTTAAGAAGCAAGACTCGAGATCCTGACTGCTTCATATACTCATATCTGACCAAACACTTTTCATATCTCTACTGGACTATTTTACGATTTCCAGTTTCAAACACCAGGAATATGACTAGATCTGGTGGACGCCTCTCGCATCGACGTCTGAATTAATAATTGGCATTACTCCATGTTTAACTAGAAATAAGCGAAATCGTTGTATATCGGTCTTTAAGTTTCACAAGGCTCGATTAAACTAAGTTGGAAATGGTAATGCCACACAAAAATATGGACTGGTTTGTGAAGTGAGGGATTTTGTTAATGCGCTGTTTAGCCAATCGCTGCTGAATGAATATAAACGATTTTAACCCAATCAGAATAAAGCTAGAGCTTCAAGCATGCAATAAAAATTTAAAATATCTGGGTCTTATTGGGAGATTTCGACATTTTATGCAAGAATTATTGCTTTCGAGAATGAAATCTCTAGATTTTGTTCCTCTTTCTTTCATAAATTTTATAATGGATGCTAGCTCTACTGATTGGATAATGACTTCATTTCGTTTCTCGTAAAAGGTCTAATCAAGTTCCCTGTCAAGCTTCTTACCTTCAAGCGTTACTATTAGCAGCATTAGTTCCCTTCTCGAATGCTATCTTTAAAGTTAATATATTCAACTTTAATATCCCGCCTATAAATTAAATTCTCCCATCTTCATGCTTTCAGTGCAAGCCAATCAAAAAGACTATAAAGAGAAAAAACTTATTTTTATTCTATGGATAAAACAAACAACTGGGAAAAGGAATTTCATGCAATAGTTGAATATCTTAAGGCAAAAAATGTAATCGCAAATTTGTGTGCTGTGTAAAATTTAAATTCTATAAAAATTATCAATCAGAATTTTAATAAATCGAATTCAGTAAAGCTGCGCAAATCAAACCTTGCATAGAGATCTACTTTGCTAATACATTAAACTTATCCATTGCCGGTGGTATTCAAATAGTTTTGTTTATGCACAAGAGTAATCGCTTCTCTACTTTGATTATGTGATCTGCAGTGGGTTACTGCTTCGTTACAGTATACTTTTGTTCTGCTTGTTATAAACTCACGTAGGATTTAAAGATGCATCCAATTTTATCGAAAAATAAGTTAGACAATTGAGCATTATATGCGTAATAAAACAGGTACATCCTGCGCTACCCAACTGTTCCTGATAAAATCCTGCTCAAACGATCTGTGTGAGTCTTGAACAGATAATAGTTGGACTTTCTACAATTCAAGAGCATATACTTGCATGCTTGACCAAATTAGCAAATTAAAGGCTTGCTGGGGGGTCTGGTTTAGGGGAATACGAATGCTAATTCATGACTATCAAATAATTAATGGACCGAAAAATCCTAGACCAAACCGTACTGTCAGCATTCTCTTCATGGAAGATTAATTTTGTGAAGTCAGCTCTAACAATATTCCTGATGGTAAGTGAGGCTATATCGCATCCAGCTTCTATCACAAATTGAAGATAGATCTAGATCCTAATCGAGAATATGAGGGTGATGAAGATGTTTTCATTGCTAGATTTGCCATAAATGTAAGACCTTTCGCCATTAAAATCGAGACCTATTTACATTTATAAGAGCTTGCACCTTATTTTTTGGTCCAAAGCCTGCAGAACCAGCCAGCTCTTATTTATTTAAAGTCACTTTAAAGTGCAATACTAAGTACATAACTCGTCTAGAGATGCAATAATTTCGGAATGACACGATCAGTAAATCAATTGAGCCCAACTATGGCGATTTCTAGGGGATCTTCAGTACACAATACTATTTGGTTACAGGCTCTTCTCGACTCTGGAAGTCCATCCAGTCTTTTGGATTGGCAGTGGTGATAGTGGTGAAGAGAATCGAACATTTCAAAGATCATAATGGTGACCCATTTATTTTGACGATATCAATCAAGATTGCCTCACTATTTATGCGATATATGTAGCTAAAAGTTTCACTCCTCTGTAATTTTGAAATTAATATAGGTATTTAACATATTATGACAATGTGAATTGCGGTGTCCAAGAAAATTTAAGTAAGGGT